GCAAAATTACATTCTGCTCCAGATTCAGCAGTATAAATATATACTGCAGAAGAGGTATGACATTCTACTACAACATTCTTGGTCTTATGGAAATTCAGGTTTCACCTGAGCAGTTGGATTTCACTTAAAGCTACAGGAAGTTAGCCTAGAGCCATTAAGTAATTAGAGTAAGGTAATAGGGCTACTATCCAAAACATAATGTGGATAGCAAATGTAAGCTAATTATGAGGTTTAAGGGGACAGCATACAAAGATGCAATGTTGTACTGTGTCACAGAATTTGTACCTTGGGTCAAACCCTATAAAAATTATTTCATCTGGTAGGAAAGAAAGACTGGACAGCATATCTAGTGAAGTTTATTTTAATATTTTGAGGAAGTTTAATACAGAACCTTGCCACATATGAAATATATATAAACAGTACGGTATCTTCTAAGTACTTCCCACTGTTTATTTTGCCCTACTCCTTAGCTACTAAGGGAGTTATTTTTTCCTAAATCTGAAATCAAACTTGGAGTCAGCCCTGATGAAAGTGCAGACATGACAGAGAAACATCTCCTTACCACTAAGAAGTTCTCAATTCCATGATGTGTCTTCTCCTCCCATCTTTTTAAAGCTATTACTATCAAAAGCAATGCATTTTGTCAATCTGCCAGTTCTGCAGAGTTATCATTAAGAGCAAGAAAGTGAATTTCATTTCCTGCAGTGAGAAAAACCCTATTAAAATGCAGCAAAAACATCCTAACAATGACCTTACCATCTTGCCATCCACATACTTTGTATTTATTCTATAGGCTTCGCTATACTGAGCTGATTTGTTGTATTATATACAAAAGACTAATGGTGCCGTTCTATAGCAACTATAGAAGCAAAAGCTGGCATGGGCGATGAGGTTTCCTCCTAGCCATGTAGTGCCTGTGAATGCAAGTTGTTATACTTTTCTTCTTTTTAAACGGAATCTGAACTTTGCTGGATGTCAAAAGTGGATTTGGCTCTCGTTCTTTCTGCTTTCAGTTCCTTGAAAAGTCCCAGGGAATTTGAAATGTTTGTCATTAATTTAAAAGGACTTAGAGCAGTGACATGGGTTAATGGGTTCAGCAGGAAATAATGTAATGTCATTACAATACATCATCACAATTTCCAGTGTTCCTGTTCTGTTTCTTCACCACAGCTGCTGATGGTATTGATGTAATCTTTCATGATTCACAAACTGTTTCTATAGCATGGGTCTGAATTCTAAATCAGAACCCAAATAGGCATAGAAGTAACACTGGCATTTCTTCAAAACTTGCCCAGACTGTCCATATACTTACAACTGAGTGACATTTTACATTATAAACAGAGAGGGAAATGCAAGAGAAATATTGTAATATCGCAAAAGGACCCAATAAAATAACAAAATCATCTAAAAGTATGAACATATACAGTAGATAGGTTCTGTCAGGATACCCAAAACTAGCAACAATGCATTGCATTATACTGAATGCAACAGTAATTGAAAATTACTTGAAAATTCCAAATATTATACAGGGAAAACACTTGAGATGTGTTGCTAGTTTTATCTAGTCTCTTTTTTGTCTCTCAAAATTTTTCAAATGTCTTGCTTTGAAACATACTTGAAGTGGAAAGTGATGACAAATTGAGTAGCTGCAGTTGCCCTCTGTCCCCTCCTTCCATTTTAACAGATGTTCAGTGGCTTACTTTATTTTATCATGTCTTGCTTAAAGAGTCTGGTCCAGGTTCATCTTTTTTAGGCAAGTCACTATTTTATCTAGTTTCAGACAGAAGAAGGCTAATGCTTAGAGCAGTGGTGGTGAACCTAAGGCATGCGTACCAGAGGCGGCACTCAGAACCCTTTCTGTGGATACGTGCACTGTCGCCCAGCCCCACCTCTCCCCCAGCCCCCATTTCCCACCCGGTCCCCACTTCATCAGCAGCTCCCCCAGAGGAGAGTCATCCCTGGGTGTGGCCTGCATGAAGCAGCGCAGCCAAGCAATGGCAGCTGGGCAACAGGGACAAGACTCCGCCCTTGCACCCTGTTGTGTGCAGGTGATGCTATGGGGCGCGGGTGGAGGGCATGGCTGCCATGGTGGTACTGCAGGGCCACCTGGCAATCTATGGCAGGCTCTGGAGGTGGTGGGTGGCCTTGTGGGTGGGTGGGGTGAGTTTTGGGCACTCGGTCTCTAAAAGGTTCGCCATCACTGGTTTAGAGGGAATAAAATAGGGAAAGCATGCATAACACACAGTGATGGGATTCAAATATGTGAACAACCAGTTTTCTGTGTGAATGCCGGACGTCCATTCTGGGCCTGGGCAACAAAAACATTAGCTACCGGTTCTGCTGATGTGAACTGGCTGAATCCCACCACTGATAATATGGCTTCTAGAGGTTTTTTTCTAACTCCTGAATAACAGCAAATGCTCTTCAAGAAGGACTACTTATCAAGAAAAGTCAATTGTCCAAGAAGATTGCAGGGTTTAGAAGTGGAGAAATCAGCAATATTTCAAACTGTTGCCTGGCTGTTCTTTCACAGGGACATTAAAGGAGATCCTTTTCTAGGATGTGTGTATTTGTGTGTGCAACTCAATCCCAGCCAGATTCTGTCTATTTTTAACATTTGCCAGCTTCTCCTCACAGACAAAATGTCATCCTGTTCTATCAATTAAAGTTTTCCTGCTGATGGACAGACAAATCCTGAGTTCATCATTTATAGAATTTCTTTCCAATGTTTTGTTGAGTTGAGCAACAACAACACATAAAGGGAAGAAAAAAACAATATGCTTACCACATCAAATTATACCAATATGTGAAAATAACTCTGTGGAGTCACCTTTTAGATGTTGTAAACTTTAAGGTAATTAAAAAAGTTTTTTAATGTTATTACCATTATCCTCAAAATAATCTACATTCCATATTCACAACAGAAAGCTTAAATTATAGTATAAATACTCACAATATAGCAGATTATTTTCCTGCTCTAATATGTCTCTCTAGTCAAGTGCATGTACAGCATGTGTTTGAGAAACTATGTAGAAATAGTTTAATATATGTTATGTTTCTAGTTTGGTGAGGCATTGACGAGGAGAATGGTGCAAACAACAACTCTTTATTCAGTTAACAACAGAAGCAGCCCTACTGCTGCTTAACCAGTATTTATACTGCTCACCACTGGGCGGCAGCCAATAGAATTAAAGCAGTTTTTCCCGCTTAAAGACAAACTAAATAACATGTAGACAGTCTGGAGCTTAAACAGGTGCAGCTGTTTGACCGTTTCCAATAGTTTCCAAATAATTAACCTCAATACATAACAATATATATCTGAAACTTGGAGTAGGATTAATTTACACTAACAAACGTACAGTCATAAGTGTATTTTAACTAGGATTTATTGTTTTAAGCCTAATTTATTTGCAAAGAACAAATCTTAGATTTGAATATTATACAGGTATTTGTTGTTTTTTAATTCAGAATTCCTAATTAATAGTTATATTAAAGGCTTATATGTGAACACATCACTTTAGCATTCCTGTGCATTACTGAACAATATCTTAATATGAAAAAAATACCTTTACCACTATTAATAATCATGATTTTTTTGCCCTTTAAAATTCAAATATATAGTGAAAACATAACATCCTTGGGGTGGGAGCTATATTTGACTATGATCAGACCATACTTTAATGATTCCTTTTCAAATTGTAATTTCACATCATAGTATGGAGCCATTCTTCCACTTGTTAACATTTTGAGATATGGAGCTCAGTAATAGTTCAGAAAAGTAAACCACTCTTGTTAAGAATTAAGAAAATTAAATTGGGTGCCAATATCATGACTGCATGGCCATGTAACTGTAAGAGACCAGAAGCTGAAGAAATAAGGCCCTCAGATATGCTCAGCTCCATGGCTGTAGAAATTAAGGGAAGCAACAAAGAACCTTCTTGTTAGACAATTTGGTGGCAGTAGGAAAATCAAAACTAGAGTTCTAGTTCTAGAAAGAAAGAGATTCATTCCAAAGAATAGAGAATCAAGAAATAAATCTTCAAAAAGTTAGGGAAAAGTGTAAAACAGAGCTTTATATACACACATTGAGACACACACATATGTGCACACACACACAAACACACACACAAACACACACACACACACACACACACACACAAACCTGCATGCATAGAAAGAAGAGAAGGAGAAGTTTAGCTGGGAAAATGGCCAGGGAAAGGAGGAAAATGAAGACTTAGCCTAAAATATAAGGTGACTAACCGTCCTCCTTTAGGGAGGACAGTTCTCCTTTTGTAGGTTCTGTCCTCCCTCGAAAAGTGTCCTCCTACATGTCCTCCTTTTCGATATTTGAAGACTAATCTGCAGGGCTTTTTTTCCCTCATAGAATGCTCAGAACGGTGTTCTGGCACCTTTTTTTGATGTTTTTTTTTCAACTTTTGCATGAGCTGTGCTACTCCTGCTATTGGCTTTTGAAAGCCAATAGGAATTGCTGCTGAGTGCACTAAAACACCCAGCTGGCAAACTTTGCACATGAAAGCTGTCTGTATTATTGTTGCAATGAATAAAATGTTTATTTTATTTATGATATTTTTTTTCTTCAATTTATTTGTGTCCTCCTTTTCATTGTAAAAAAGTTGGTCACCTTATAAAATAGCATTTCTCAACCTTGGCAATTTAAGATTTGTGGACTTCAGTTCCCAGAATTCCCCAGACACAATGGCAGAAATAGGCAGCCTGAGGAAACAAAGGACATGAAAAACAAAGTTTTAAGTTAAGGAAAGGATAAAACTACTTAAAAAATAGAAGGGTGAAAGGCAAGAGGTTTTTCTCCCTTCAGCACTATGCCCAGGGAAGAATCCATTCCCTGCTGCTATGAAAGAGTAAGGTGGAGCTTAGGGAGTGAAAAGTGCCCAGGAGTATCAGTTGACAGCTTAGTAAAAGTGGAAAGAGAGAGCCTGTCAATTTCATTAATGAAAACATCACCCGGTGAATTAGCCAAGGCAGAATTGAGGTCTGAAGGGCTGAGAATGGAAATGGATCAGATTCAGGTGAGCCAGAGAAGAGGGTGTCTTATTCAGAAGGCAGGATTAAGAACTCATATCTAGGCTGTTAGATATTTTCCTTATTTGATTTGCAGTGAAAGGAAGGAATTGCTTTCCATTACTCACAAATTCTAAAGGACTTGACAATATAATTGCTTGAGGAATCTCTAAGGAGGACCAGATCCATGAAGCCAGAACCACCTTCAAAAGCTGAAAATAGCTAAATCTTATGTTCTTATGCCCATCTTTGTTAGGAAATACAATGTTTGCAAGGAAATATTAAAAATGGATCTAATTTAGGAAACTGTCTTGAATTGACTGTTCAGAAAGTAATAGCAAGCAATCCATGTTTCATTATGTTCTTACTTCTTTTTGAAAAAGCACAGCATTTTGTATATATTTAAATGCTCAAATCAAACTAAATGTGAAATAAACTTGGATGACTTTTTAAAACTTGGATGGAAATTTCAGTATTAGTAAAAATATTTCTTTAATGTAGTGCTTGGAAAATGTGCATCAATGATTTTTGTTTTTATTTTAATGAAATAATTATTAAAATAACAACAAAATATGATTAAATACCTTAAAAGCTATTAGGTACAGACAGGCAACATACGGTAGTACAGTTTTGACATCATCCAGAAATCTTGGCCAAAGGAAATAATTGTGGAAATTGAACCATATCTGAAAGATGTCAAATTATTTGTTCCTGCTCTCAGGGAACAGATGTTCAGGTTCAGTCCCTATGGTTACTAAGCAACATAAAGCTTTGCCTTCTCTTTTTGTCTATTCAATATATCAGCACATTCTGCCTGCTCCACTTCATCTCTCAACTTTTGTAGTGCAAGTAAGTATATTCTGTCCAGGTTGTTTTAGCTGATAGTGCCTTCCAAACTGCATCCAGTATCTCTCTTCAAGATGGAGGTTGGACACCGGGGGTGGAGGGTGGGTGTAAATATTAGAAGATTGGTGAGGATAATACTGGGGGTTAGAAAATTTCCAGGCCTTTGGTGTTCAGTAATGATAAACAGAACAGTCGACTGGTAAATATTTCCACCATTTTTTGCTCTATCTATATGGAGAAGAATGTGAGAAGAGAGTATAAAGCAAGACAAGGTACCAGAATATGTTTGGAACTTGGGGAGAAAAAAAATGGTTTTCCAACAATGCCCCAGATCTAGATATATATTTTTTTAACTTTAAGTACTGTATGTCAGTCCAGCTTTTGTAAGAAATCGTGTTATCTTAAGACAAGGGACTTTCCTACTTTCCCCACTGTTGATAAATGCAGCATTCTTTAAACACTACAAGGATTGCCAGCTGTCTTTTTATTAAAGGATCCCTAGCTCTTTCAAACAAGATCTGTAGAATTCAAGGCTAAAAGGATTTTGTGTTCCATCTGGAGCCAATTTAGAAACCATCATATTCTATTTATTTCAACTTCTTTTGATTAAAGCAATTACTTTAAACTTCAAAGGCACAGGCTTTATCTTTAACAAAGGTGAATATGACTGCATCATAAAGACCTGCTCTTCCATTTCTTTTTATTTGCACAATCTGCTCTATGAATCAGCCATAAGTCTAACCTTTCTATTGTGCCAAAATTAATAGCAAGCAATCCACTTTTTTATTATTATGTTCTGACTTCTTTTGAAAAAGTGGTCTACATATTTGAATCTGGAAATTCAACTATTATGGAAAACTTTCTTTAGATGCGATACCTAAGTATTGAATTGTTGCCATAAAAACCTCTCAAGTATTTTTAATTAATATTTAAATAATTATATTAAATTGTCCACCTCAGGATTAGACTCACAAAGGCTATATATATAATTGTGTGAAAATGTTGGAAGATGAAGTATAGATCTATAGAATTTATTTTATTCTTAGAGCTACATATCAATTAGGAAGACATTTCCTCAGTTTGTATTTTCAATTTTTTTTTTATAAAAAATGCCTGTTGAAATATTGGCTATTCTACCTTAGTGGCACCAGCAATTTGAATAAATGACCTTTTTGACCACCTTAATCCAGGCCATTGATCAAAATGTTCAATATCCTAAATAAAGTCCTTCAGCTTCTGGCTTAACAGATTTTCCCTTTCTTCCTTTTACCATACTTTTTTCCTGTATCTGTGTGTGTGTGTGTGTGTGTGTGTGTGTGTGTGTGTGTATGTGTGTGTGTGCATTTGTATATGTTGGTTGCATCAAACTTTATAACTATTATCTAGAATCTACCTTCTGAGGTAGTGCAAAAATCATAAAATAAAATAATAAAATGAAGTAAAATGAATGTGGGATTCAAATCCTGTTTAAGAGAGTGGCAGATTCATGTCATTCCAATAACATTCATTGGCCAAGAAACAAGGTGATTCTAAATTATTGCAGTCTCTGGAAATTACATAACTGTTATTTATTCAGTTGAATAATGATGATGATGATGATTGTTTAGAGATACAGGTAGTGCATTGTAACTTATAATGATATAACATTTTAGTTTTTTCATGTACATGAGAGTATTAAATAATCGGATTAGAAATCATAAATGTTTACCTTACCTATAGGAAAGGAAGCTGTGGAGCTAGGAAAGGAAACCAACTTAGTTGGATCAGACAGATGGGGCATACCTCCACACCATTATGACTGTGAAAGATATGGACATTTTCTTCTTGTTTAGCCAATTCGCAGATATGTTGCACATGCAATGCAACAATAATGACGGGGGCAACTCTTGTCCTGATCCCTATTTTGCATCCAAAATATAGGTGGTATGCCTTTTTTTACCACTGCCATCATACTGCACTTCTGAGATGCAAATGTAACCTCACCACAAATGTAGCAGAAGTTCTCTGCATTGTTTACACAGTTTCAAGGCATCTTGGCTTCTGAGGGAAAATATCACATAACTGTTCCTTGGAAATGTTAAGCAATGACACTTTCACAAGCCACCAGATGTAACTGTATAATGCATAGATCTGACCAAAGCAAATGTACCTTGTAATAAAATAACAATAAATTACAGTTAGGTAGTCTCAAAGTGAAGATAAATTTATACACTTCCACGTCGTACCATTTTCATTGTTCTACCATACTTTGTTGAGAAATTGCAAGCCATGATCATTAGATAGTTCCCTCCTTTGTAGGTAAATATACTCACCTGGGTATAAATCTTTATTGTGAAATATCTTGAAAACTTTAGCCAAGCAGCACCTTTATTACTTGTTTTCTCATTCATTTAATAAAAATATGTAAGAATTAACACATTTTATCTTGGAGGTCAATAATTTCCCAAAATTTGTAGACCAGTGATCAAATGCCTTGATTTTGTGGCTCTTGTTATGACAGTCCAGTGAAGGATACAATGTTTATGACTATATAATACCTAATGTCTGTTCATAATAACATCTTAAAGAAGGACTATTAGATTTTTACAGTGAAAACAGCATAAAGATTTGTGGGCTCCTTAAAATTTAACACCTTTATTATGGCATAAATTTTTAAAATGGCATTATGCAATGAAGCAGTCTAGAGTTTTCAAAAGCAGTTGTCATCAATAAATCAAAGCATATAGATTAGGATTCAAGACACCACAAGTATTTTTGATCTGTTCACAGTACTATTAATTGAGACAGTCCAAACTAGGATTTCACTCAGTAAAACAGAAATGGGGATGATAATTTTTTTGAAATGCTTTCCCTCAAATTACAGAATAATATTCTGGGTGAGGATGGGGTAAGTATTATTGTCAACATCCTTATGAACTTTTATCTCTGTCACATTGCTTCAATATATTTAGCTTGTTTTTTGCATCTGCATTTTTTGCGTCTTTACACAAAGGGAAAAAACAGACCAACCTATCAAAAATAGTGCCATAAAAAACAGAATAGAAACACAAGTTAAGATAGGCAAGAAAATGGTAAGTGAACATCTGTCCAGCCTAGACGAGTTCAAATCACCAGGACCAGATGGATTACACCCCAAGGTTCTTAAGGAACTGGCAGAAATGATCTCAGAACCACTGAACTATACTTTTCAAAGATCCTGGAGCACTGGGGAACTACCAGAAGACTGGAAAAGAGCTGATGTAGTTCCCATCTTCAAAAAAGGAAAAACAAATGGACCCAGGAAATTACAGACCTATCAGCCTGATCCTGGAAAAGATAATCAAACAATGAATCAGCGAACACCTAGAGGCAAACAAAGTCATTACTAAAAGCCAACATGGGTTTGTCAAAAATAGATCATGCCAGACAAATCTTATTGCATTCTTTGACCAAGTGACAAAGTTAGTGGATCAGAGGAATGCTGTGGACATAATTTACTTGGACTTCAGTAAGGCATTTGATAAAGTAGATCACAACCTACTACTTGACAAGATAGAAAAATGTGGGGTAGACAGAACCACCACCAGATGGATCCGTAGCTGGCTGACCGGCCGTACTCAGCGAGTGGTCATCAATGGAACTGCATCTATATGGAGGGAAGTATGTAGTGGGGTGCCCCAGGGCTCTGTTCTGGGCCCAGTGCTCTTCAACATCTTCATCAACGATTTGGATGAAGGACTAGATGGGGAACTCATCAGATTTGCAGACGACACCAACCTGGCAGGAATAGCCAACACTCCAGAAGATAGGCTTAAGATACAGAAGGAGCTGGACAGACTTGAACACTGGGCACTATCTAACAAAATGAAATTCAGTGGTGAAAAAAGCAAGGTTCTATATTTAGACAAGAAAAACCAAATGCATAGGTATAGTATAGGGGTACCTTGCTCAATAGTAGTAACTGTGAGAGGGACCTCGGAGTCCTAGTGGACAATCACCTAAATATGAGCCAGCAGTGTGCTGCAGCTGCCAAAAAGGCCAACACAGTCCTAGGCTGCATTAACAGAGGGATAGAATCAAGATCACATGAAGTATTAATACTACTTTACAATGCCTTGGTAAGGTCACACTTGGAATACTGCATCCAGTTTTGGTCACCACGATGTAAAAAAGATGTTGAGAC